TTGGAGGGTGGGTATGCAGGAAATTTGTCTCTTCCCTCCACTCATTGGGTTACCAATTTGTAGCTTTGGGCCCTTCTTAAGTGTTACTTAATATTCAAAACTGACATGAGATCCATAATAATAATAATAATAATAATAATAATAATAATAATAATAATAATAATAATAATAATAATAATAATAATAATAATAATAATAATAATAATAAAGTTGGTGTCAAGCTCCGTGGGGCTTGCCATCTGCTGGGGGGGGGAACAGCAGCCGAACGCCGAACGGACGGAGAGTGTCAGTTGGAAGGGACCTTGGAGGTCATCGAGTCCAACCCCCTGCCCAGGCAGGAACCCTACACCATTTCAGACAAACGGCTGTCCAGTCTCTTCTTAAAAACTTCCAGTGTTGGAGCATTCACCACTTCTGGAGGCAGGTTGTTCCACTGGTTAATTGTTCTCACTGTCAGGAAGTTTCTCCTTAGTTCTAGATTGCTTCTCTCCTTGATCAGTTTCCACCCATTCCTTCTCGTCCTGCCTTCAGGTGCCTTGGAGAATAGCTTGACTCCCTCTTCTTTGTGGCAGCCCCTGAGATATTGGAACACCAAGAAAGCTGGCCATAGCCATTGACAGAGCTCTAGTTTCCCTGGATGAGTTCTCAATGTTGAACAAGAAACCATCCAAGAGCTGTCTTTGCCTATTATGGGATAATAATTTGTGAATAACGAGCAGTATTAGTACTATTCAAACCATGGTTAGGATTTCCAATTAGATACATAAAACGTCAACTCTTTCTTGATATCAAATGGTTATCCAGATTTTTGTAGCCAAGATTGGAGAGGCTTTAGATCTTAGATACGCTTTTAAGATAAGCAATATTTGTTATTCAGGCTATTTCTTAAAGCCCCTGGATTCAGGCCACACAAACGTTTTGTTATAATAGTTCAGGAAGAAGCTAATGTTTTGCACTCACAGACTACATTTATCTAATAGGACTGTGTGGATGGTAATGTCACTAGAGAAAATTGGCAGGGAAGGAAAGGATTAAGGAAATACAGTAAGAAGGTTCTCAGGAAGTTTACCATATATATTTTGCTTATCAGTTACATTTTTAAAATACTGATTATTATTTAGCTGAATTCCAGCAGTGCAACCTCTAAGGAACTCACATGCATTGAGTAAGCTTCTGATATCCCATTCCTGCAACAGATTCCATTTGTAATAATAGTATTGTTTTATTCTTTGGGGCCTGGGGATAGGCTTTTTATTATCAGCTGCTCAATCAAGATGCAATTGTTCACATTTATTTATTATAGTAAATGTAAATTAAGTAATCTACTTAGTTTTTTGTTTCTTGCTGAAAATAATTGCAATGGCAGTTTTCTTCATTTCTGAATTTATAGTTCTGGTTACTAGCCCATTTTACACTCATGCAAAAACATCAATGTCCATCTCCCCTTTTGGGATCTCACATGTATAGAGTCAACATTGCACAGTTATGACATTTGCTAAAAGTTGAAGGACATTCTTTAAGGGCATGTTTATTTTTATTTTTTCTAAATTGAATATCGCATCTACTACAATCTCACCTTCCTCCTCCTCCTCCAAAAATTGTAAAAAGTCCATGTTATTGCTGAGAGATCAGATAATCTGTTGATTCTTCTTTACTGTATTTTTGTGATAGTTTCCTTTCCTTCAGGCCCTTCTAAAGCAGAACCTTTACTGGACCCATCCAATAACTACTATGAATCACAGAAAGGTTCATGTCTTAAAATGTCAGCTGGCAATGGAGCATCCCAAATTGTATTATTTCTGATTATAATGACCACATTTCCATATCACTATGATTACCTGTATGTTATGCATGTTTATTGCCTCAAGTTTAGGTCACTTTAATTTCAAGTCTTCCATGACCTCACCGAGACATTGTGACCTAGGATATATGATATCTCTATAGTCACATAGCTGAGACTTGGGTCAAGTCTTCTTTGCTGAGCTGGATCAAAATGGATCAGAATGAAGGTCAGAGATCTCGTTTCAGAAAGTGGTGTGTTGGTAATTTAAGGGGCAGTGATGGGAAACCACATTAGATTTGTATATTAACTTTTTTTAACATTCATGAAAAACTCCTGTTTTGTAGTTGTTGCACAACCTGGTTAGAATATTCTTTCAATAAGCATGGCAAAATTACTAGCAGCATTCAGTTCAGATGACCTATTAACATCAAAATATGGGCCTGATGTAAGCTGAATCACTGGGGACAACTGATGCACTGATATTCATGCCCTATTTTCTTTGGTTATTTTCTACCCACAATAAATTCCCTGAACTGCCCCCATTTGACTTTTTAACAAGTAAAATTTTTATTTGCATTTTTTTATTTACATGAGGCTTCAAATATTTCATAACCCTAGACCCGAGGCTACTGTATTTAGGTAACAGTGAACAAGCTTTTATACTAGCCAGAGGTCGCATGAGCCAGTTTGGTGCAGTGGTTAAGGCACCAGGTTATATAGCAGACCACGAGTTCTAGTTCTGAAGCACAAAGCTAACTGAGTGATCTTGGGCCAGTTACCCTGTCAGCCCTAGGAAGGAGGCAATAGCAACCCACTGCTGAAAATCTTTCCCAGAAAACTGCAGGGACTTGCAGACAATGGCCAGTAGTCAAAAAATTATTCAAAAGCACTAAAAAGATATGGCATATACAGTGTAAGAAAATAGCCCTTTTTCCATGCTAGACACAGAAGAGAATCAAGTTGTATGCTGCTTCCATTCTCCCTTTACAATTGTAGTTATTTAAAAAATGGGTTATATGAATCCTAAGCCTGGTCATCTCAAGATGAGTTGTTTGCCACATTATGCACTCCTGGTAGTTATTTTGAGTAACAGTAGAATATGAGCTGCCCTACGATTCTAACTGGCTGAGGATATTCTAGTGTTTGTTAACTGGATATAGCCAGCAGGTAAGAGTTTCTAGTTTTTCATCTAATTTGATATTTGTTTTACATAAAAACATGTAAATCAACTCCACTAGAGCCAGTGATAGGGAGGAGTAAGTATGCAGACAATTCAACTGGATTAACTCTGGAAGAAGCAAACACAGGGATAAATTTAGTGAAACCATTCCCTGTAGGTCAAGTGTATTTGTTTATGAATGTTGGTATGTAAAAATAAGACCAAAGAAGAATTGGACCAACATAAATGTTAGGTTTTAAAAGGTTAAGACTAGATAGTACTTTTTTGTTAGCACTAATATCTTAAACTGACAGTTATTCTGACTGGTGGCCGAAGAAAAAATAAATAAATGGGTGACACTAATATATGTAACAACAACTAGTAGGCAAATAAAAACATCTTTATTTTAAAACAATGAAATTCAGTGTTCAGGGCGTCCATGCAGTTCAGAGTTTTAAGAAATCTTCTCAGATATTGACTTAAACTGCTATCAATATACTGAGATGATGAAATAATGGGTAATCCCCGATTTGCACTGCTACACAGCTATCTGGACAGCCAAACAAAGAAGCGAAGTCTTCCGCACCCGTGCTTAAGAGGGGGATTATCCCTCACCGCGGTTTTTTTTTCCTGCTAATATGTAACAAATGTACCAGCTGCCGATTTACACACCCTTTTTTTAAGAAGTATAAATTGCAAGTTGAATTGGTCCCTTGATTCTGTCACCCTATACCCAGGGGTAGGCAACCTTGGCTCTTTTATGACTCGTGGACTTCAACTCCCAGAATTCCTCAGCCAGCACAGCTGGCTGAGGAATTCTGGGAGTTGAAGTCCACGAGTCATAAAAGAGCCAAGGTTGCCTACCCCTGCCCTATACAGTTAAGCAGATGGTTCGCTGTCACCCTCTTCCATTAAACTTTGGGAAGTCCGCCCATCTCGTTTTCCCTTCAATCAACTCAAGGAGGGGGAGGGGCGGCATACGGAGTTGATATCCCCGCCCCCCCCCTCCGCTGTTTATCGCCCGCGGGACAGCCCCGCAGCTCCCTTTAAACCCGGATCTCTTCGCTCTTCTGCCAAACTGACAACAACTCCGGGACTGCGGTTACCCAGCAGGGGCCGAATCTGGGACTAACAAGGCTCGCGTAGAAAGGGGTGCGGTTTGGGGGTTTGGCTTTCCCGCGCGTGCTTCTCGTTGCAAGTCGGTGGAACCGAGGGGAAGGAGGCAGGCGGGCGGGGCTGCGCAAACTTCCACTCCGCTCGGCTCGGGGGGAAGGGCCTGGGTCCCCCCCCAGCCCCTAAGCCCGGAGAGAAAGCGCAGAGCCGCCCTGCCGCAGCACCCTCGTCGAGCTCCGGGAGTTTGGGGCGAGGCGGAGCCAGCCTTCCGCGTGGCTGGCTAGCGGCCGGGAGGGAGGGGAAGGAGGAGCGGGCTGGCGGGATGATCGGGACGATCCTCTGTTACGTCCTGCTGCCCCTGTCGCGGCTCCTGCAGGCTTTCCAAGGTAACCGCCTCCCCGCTTCGGACTCGTCCCCCCCACCCCCGCTCGGGCGAAGCAGGCTTGACCGTCGCTCCCCTCTCAGGGCGGGATGGGACAGGGCGTCCAATCAGGCAAAGGGCATGGTTGCTGGGCTGCCGAGGCTTCTCGCTCGGGTGCCAGGCCCCGGCCTTCGCCGGGCAGCTGGCCCAACGGCGAAAAGGACGGCCGGGAGGAGCATCCCGCTTGCGCCGCCCGTCTCCGCCCAGGCGCTGGGAGCCGGGGTTTCATTGGGCCTTCCCGCCCCCTCCCCGTCCCGCCTTCCGGCGTGCTGGTGAAGTTTCTCCCCTCGGAGGATCAAAACAGGCGGACCGAGGCGGCCGTGAGGTTGCTTGTAACTGAGATCAACACTGAAACGGGTCCTGGAAAATCATACTGTGTTTTAAAATCTGTAAGAAAAGGCAAATGGTTGGAACAAGAGGAGGATAGGCGTGTGTGTGTAAAATAAATAAATACGGCACTTGGGCAGGTGGGATCGTTGGACCGGAAACAACTTTGCTTGTTTTGCTAATGATTGACTTTTATATGAGACTTTACTTGCATTATTTTCTTGCAACCTTATGAGATACATCAGTTTTATTTTCCCTGCTGTTCAATTGAAAGGGAGAGGATGTAAGAGCAGGCGTTGCCGACGTTTTTATTTCACAAGTATTCATTCAGTTAGGGGTTTTTTTTCCTACCAAATCTGCGATTTTGATGATCAACATGCCTTGGACTGCATGTGTCACATTTCAGTTTCTTTTTTGTGGCTTCATTGCCCTGTTGTAAGATGTAGAAATGGCCCCTTGGTTTTAAAGTTACTTACTTTCTAATAATCAGGATGATTTTGAGACTGCACTATTATCAAATTTCAGACCCTCGGTCCTAAATAACACGCTTAAAACTTTTTGTGTATAACTTTATTCTGTCTCATTTCTTCTAATCGTGTTTACAAAGTAAAACCTTCGTTTTACTTAAGTTTGGGTCTTTGTTTCTACAGTGCTTATTCACCTGGTCAACCAATTTTTGAAATTAATGTCAGTTAATTTGCTTTTATTTGAATCAAGAATAGAAAAGTTAGGCTTGTCAGTAAGCACTTCTTGTTTACTGACTGATTTCAAATTCAGCTGAATCATAAAATGTTGATATTGCTAAACCCAAATATTCAAAGTCCTATGTGGGACTTACATCATGCACAATTGTTATAGATCCTGGCTCCCTATTTTGATTCCAAAAGCAACAACATATTCACCAACACATTTCTTTGTGCTTTTCAGAATTCATGCCCTACTCAGTCTTCTTTTTTTTGTGTGGATTCTGTTTTTTTTTTTAAAAAAAACCTGGATGAGAAGGATAACACTACTCTCAAACATAACCTATCTTTTGTAAAATGCCTCTGGACTCCATATAGATTCCAGATACTTCTTTTAGAAACTAATAATAAATATCATGTATGAAATGAAATGATGAATGAGTGCAATCCAGGACTTTGCTTGCCTCCCTGTAATGGGTCTTTGGCCCTTGCCACCAGTCAACCACTTTGTGAATGTACCCACAATTTGAATCTTCCTCACTCTCCCAGAAAGGTTGGAAATCCCTGATTTAGAAAACAGTGATTTGTCCTGTGCCAGAATTTGTTGCTGTTTGTGAATTGTTAAAGGCATTATTGCAGTTAGTTTTACTACACTGAAGCGAGTTGTTTCTAAAGTGAACATATGTCCCTATTTTTGACAGATGCTTTCTTTAACTGTCGAAAGAACGCGCTTCTGCCAAAGAGCACATCTATAGACGGCCTTTCTGGTCCAATTGGTGGGAAGCCAAGCTTGGAGGAGAAGCAAGCCCTGCTGCAGCAGTGGCTGGAGAAGGGGGCTGGGGGAGGTTGCACTAATGAGAGGGCTTCAGAACTGGACGAAGTATCAGCCATTTCGGCTGTGGAGTGGCAAGAAGGCCCAGAGCTACTGATGACAAGCTTAAGCAACTTGATTGTCTCACCACAGTCTAATGACCAAAAGGAGGAAGAAGAACAGCAGCAGCTGCTGCTGCAAGGGGTCTCCACTGAGGAATCTTCAGGGCTACAGGAATTTGTAGAACCTACCTTGGCAAGCTCACTAACACAGGAAAAAGAAGATGTGGAAGTCAATGCTCCATGGGCAGCAGTACGGACAGAGGGTGATCTTCCAGATGTGGATGCTTCTTTGTCCACAGAAGTATGGATTGAAGATCCTGCTGTGCTAGCCTGGAGTCCTGCTCAGGAGAATGATGTGATATCAGCTGAGGCAGTAATGTGGCCTTTTGCAGATGCAGGTCAATTTCAGCCACTCCCCCTAGAGATACCTTATCATGGTGAGTACTAATGCATTTCATTGTGTGACTTTGACTTTACTGGATAAGAGCAGAGTTACTATTACAGTGTTACTTGATGTATGAATATCAGTTATGTTAGATATTGTGGAAATACCTCAATCTTACCTTTCTTTGAATTCCTTCAAGGTATCTGCTGAATCTTCTAAATTCCTTTGATGGTTAGAGATATTACACACTGTGAGCAGTAATAAGGACAAAAATATGTAAAATAACTAATAAAAACATACAAATAATACATATTAATTTAATCCACTGCATTACTTATGTTCAAAAAGAATAACCAGTTACAATCTATAGACAGGAACTTTTTAAATACTTGCTTTCAGACTGGAATAGCAAAAATAACATTTTTGGGGAATACAGTCACCATAATAAAATCCAATTCACAGAAGTATCCAGAGGCTAGTTTGGTATTTCTGAATAGATTGCCCAAATGCTCACTTCTGAATATTTTTAATTTTGGAATAAAAGCTGGTAGTCTGTCACGCTAAAAATGTTTGTGAAGTATAACACATTTGTTTGCAGAGTGCTCTGGTGTTACTAAAGGAAAACTCTCTCATTCTCTGGAAGAATCAGAATTACTCAGTTGTACAGCAAAATTTATTTAGGTTAAATACAGAGGTAGCCTTAATGTTACATCTAGTTTTGCTCTTTAGATCAAATTATAGGTGGTGTTACATCAGAATACTGTATAGTGCATTTAACTTTTTAAAAAAACTTTAACTTAAAAAAATGAAATAATTATAAGAGACTGACACGGTTGTCTGGAAAAATGGAAGTTTATACCTCTCCCCTCTAGTTTTCTGTGGGTCACAGCACATGAGCTAAGGCATCCTGTGTAGCTTTCCAAATATATCATACAAATGCAGTATGCAGACTAATTATGGCTAGAACAAACCAAAGAATATAGCCATAAATGAATTCAATGAAAGTCTTAGCTGTAATTTTATTTATTTATGAATGGATTTCATCAATGTTCTCCCCCTTCTCCCATCTTAACAACAACTCTGGATGGCCAACAAAATTGTACTCCTTGTCCTGGATCAAGCAGAGGGGTTGCAGCACAGTCCTTATCATGCATTCAGGTGATACTCTAACTCAAACCAAGTCAGGCACATGAGTTGCTCAGGATGAAAAGTCACAGGATGCATTTGTATTAAACCAGCCTTTATGACTTAGTAATTTACTGTGAAGCACAGGCTCAGATTCTAGTTAAAGGTAATCCTCCCTTCAGTTGCTTTTTGCTCTCGAGGACAACAGGGTGTCAGCCACAAACAGACATTTCCAGCATAGATCCAAACGGTGTCTTGCACTTTTTGCTTTTGTACAGAGATTTTGTGGAGAGACTGGGAAGATCTCTCTGCCTGCAACCCAGACCTGAACCCAGAGAGTGGGTCTCTGTTTGAATTCAGAGTAATGTCTTACAACATTCTGGCCCAGGACCTGATTGAGCAGTGCCCTCATCTTTACATGCATTGCCATCCGGATACCCTAAACTGGAGCTATCGTCTTGCAAATCTCTTACAGGAGATCCAGCACTGGGATCCTGATGTGAGTATAACTTGGCGGCTTTGTTGTATTTGAGTATACAAGTAGTCAGTCCTCAGATTATAACAGCAATTGGAATCAGGACTGCTGTCACAGTGATGCGATCATAAAGCATGATGTCACATGAATCATTATTTAGCAATAATAATCCCAGCAATGCCAGTTGTTGTTGTAATCCCAAGACACACAGCTCATTAAGCAGGAGGTACAGGAGTCCTAGGTAAGGAGTGCATGGGTGCCACAGGGAGATCGGGTAGGCCATAGGACATGCGGTGCAGGCTATGCACAAGTGCAAGAAGGCTGGAGGAGATGGATGGTGTAGCCCAGTGGGAGGCAAGATGGCCAGGGGATGGATGATGTGTCAAGTAGCAAGTTCAGGAAGGCTGGGATGGTGCAGCAGGACACAAATGGAGGAAGGCCAGTGGATGGAGGATGCAGCACAGCGCAAGCGTAGGAATGCTGGTAGAACTTACTAGAGTGACTTGCAACATTCCTTGCAGGCTTCCCCATTGACTTTACTTGTGGGAAGCTGGCAGAGATGGTCACAAATGGCATGATCACAAGACACTGCAACTATCATAAGTGCAAGCTGTTTGCCAAATGCCCAGATTGTGATGACGTGACCGCGGGGACACTATCATGACTGGAACTTGGAGGACCACCTATTCAGCACTGTCTCAACTTTGAACAGTCAAAGAATGAGTGTCGGGATGTGAGGACTACCTGCATTTACATTGGTACTAAGAGGAAGCAAAGGAAATGCAAGGCCCATTATGCCTTGCATTATAATAAAGCTTCAGAACATTCCTGACTCAAAGTCTGTGGTTCACCTGTCTTTAAGCCTATCTTTTCTGAATAATTAGGAGTCAATTTTTGAGGGGGAGAGAACTATTTAGCCTTTTAGCTAATACCATTCTGTCAGTCTTACCAGTACATAGAAAACACAATTTGATAAACTAATTCTACTATATTGTAAAGCTACAATAGCAGAATCATGAAAGTCTGAAGTAAAATTCTCCCACTGTCATCTTTACAGCTCAATAACTTAGGGAGGGTCCCTTCTAAGCCTCTTGCTCCATCCACTATGCACCTCTGGGCTGGGATGTGTATTATCTGACTGTTCCTTAGCTAGCACCTCTTCACCACACCTCCCAAGTTCTTCCCCACCTACCATTACATATTTATAACTGTGATCATGGCTGTTGAATCTCATGCTTCTTTAATACTTTTCACTTTCTGATTTCACTTAAATATACTTTCACATCTCTGGTTTTTTACTCAGATGACGTTGGCAGGGGACCGATGAAAGCTTAGCTAATAAACAGTTGTTTTTTACATTTATCCTGGAGGTTGTTGTCTTTCTACTGTTAATATGAACATACCTGGAATTTGTATTTTTAAGGTAATTAGGGACAATATACAATTCCGTACAGTCACAAAATCTGCTAGGTAGGTGGCCCTCCTTTAACAAACCACTTGTTTAGCTACCATTCAAATTTGTGATAGTGCTGAACTAGTGGTACTTATGAATGGTACCATCTTGAAGTTCTAGCCATCCCTGCTATTGTGTGATTGCCATTTGTGACCTCTTTGCTGGCTTCTCACATACAGAGTCAATGGGGAAGCTAATAGTAAGTTGCAAATGGTGACCCCATGATGTCTTTACTTAAAGTCAGTGTGGGATTCGCTTAACAACAGCAACCAGAAATGCTAGGATTTCCACTACTAAATGGTGTAGTCAAGTGGCCTTACAACCTCATCGCTTTCCGGCAACTCCAGTCCCAATTCTCATAGTTAACCAAGGGATGTCTGTATTTTTCCTTTTATGGCAAATGTAATTAGGGAGAATAATAAATTTGGGAGAAGTGAAATGTAGGTAGTGTAAAATGATTTATTTGTTCTGCCTTAGAAAGCTATGACATAACTTACAGATATTTTCTTCTAGATTCTCTGTCTCCAAGAAGTTCAAGAGAATCATTATTGGGAGCAGTTGGAGCCAACGCTGATGATGATGGGTAAAACTTCCTTCTGATAGTGAGCTTAGCTCAAGAATATGCTTCTTGATGCTCCAACCAGGATCAGTAAAAATGCCTCTTACTCAGTGTTTAACAGCCATCGATGTTTTGGGATGATTGGCTTTACTTTTGATAGTCAACATGGTTTGGGGGAACCTGGAGCTTCATGGATGCCTTTGAAGCTCCAGTGCATATCAGGTTTTGGAAGGGAGGGTGTACTGAGCTTTGTTTTGCTTCTCCTTTCCCATGCATTACCTTCTGAATTGAGTTGAGCCAAGATGAGCGATGCCTTCTTCATCTCAAAGATCAAACTAGACATAAGAGGCATATGTAACAAGAAGCTTTTGTCCTTTGGCTAGGCTTTACCTGTATCTACAAGCGGCGGACAGGAAGAAAGACAGATGGTTGTGCAATCTGTTACAAGCAGAATAAATTCCAACTGATCAGTGCTAGCCCTGTTGAATACTTCCGGCCTGGTTTGGATATCCTCAGCAGGGACAATGTGGGCCTGGTGTTACTACTACAGCCCTTATTAACAGAAAACCTGGGAGAGAAGGCAATCAGCCCTTTGTGCGTGGCAAACACTCATGTATTGTATAGTCCCCGTCGGGGAGACATCAAACTGGCCCAGATGTCTCTGCTCTTGGCAGAGATTGACAAAACCGCAAAACTGGCTGATGGCAGTTACTGCCCCATCATCTTATGTGGGGACATGAACTCTGTGCCTGACTCACCGCTATATAAGTTCATCCGGAATGGCCAGTTGTACTATCATGGAATGCCAGCCTGGAAGGTAAGCAAAAGAAAGATATCAGATAGTCTTGGTTTAGCTCTTAAATAGTTTTATGGTTTCCAGCACCTCCTGAGAATCTTGTTTGCTTTTCTCTCCAACACAGCACTTTTTCAGGCTTAGTTCATTTATTTAAACTGACCTGGTTACTATAGAGGCCATCTGTAATAATGTTGTGGCAGAAAGTGCTATTTTCAACTAATAGCCAGTCAGATATTTAAATATTGGGATGCTGTTGTGGCAGAAATTGACTTTAAGTCCTATGCAGACTCCCTCCCCTGTTTCTCAGTCCTCTGATGCCTACCAAGTCACTGCTGGGAAGTGTGGTAGAAGTGCAGTTTCTCTCTGCAGGGTAAAAGAGAGAAATCTGTTGCTGGAGAGAACTTATGGCCATGATTTGACATGTGTTCCTCATGGCTGAAAGGTTGGTTGCCTTTTACAAAATTATAAGCAATTAAAATAGAACATAAACATACTTCTTGCATCCTGCTATACTACTACATTAGCAGAAAACAGGAAGATTTGAACTCTGGGAATGTCTTGCTCAGCTAGATTTCCAAAGTCTTTAGTTTGGGGTAGGGTGAGTTCTTTCTCTGTAGTAGATACTAATTTGCTTGTTAATGCAAATGCATCCCTAGTATTCTTGCATTTATATTCTAGATCAGTATATCTCAACCTTGGCAACTTTAAGATGTATGGATTTCAGCCCCCAGAATTTCCCACTCAGCCTGGAAGTTGAAATCCACACAATTATGGTTGACAAACACTATTTTAGATTAGGGTTCCGGCTTTCTGATTTTCATGTGGTTATTCTAGATTTTTGGAACTTTGGATTATTTTCCTCAAAACACTTGGTGGGTATTTGTGTTCTGTTATTTCTTCTTATTCTGCCTACAAAGGTGTCTGGACAGGAAGAATTCTGTCAGAACCCACACCAACGGAAATTGCTGTTTCCTCTGTGGCCTGGCTGCCTGGGTATAACAGATGACTGCCAGTATATCACTCTTTGTCAAAGCAAGAAGTCAGGTGAATCTCATGGAAAAATTGAAATCGTAGGTGCATGTATGTTCAGAAAGGGACACCTTTCAGTAATGTATGTTCAGAAAGGGACACCTTTTCAGTGTGAGTCCTCAGAATGACAGGCTTTTCAGTCTCTGGGGTTCCTCGTTTTAAAAAATTATTTACCTACATGCGCACTATTCAATGACAGTTGTAAATTCATTGAGTAAACAGGATCGGTGGTTATGTGGGAACGAACAATTAATGACTTTCCAGGGTCGTACAATGGTTCAATTTTTTTGTTAATGAGTTCTTAGTATTTGAAATTGTATCTGCATGGATGCATGGAGACATGCAGCTTCATTTTAACAACTATTAGCTGGAAATTAGATTACAAATAACAAGTTTGCACACACTAACCATTCTAATTTTTTTCTTTTGGGTCTGCTTTTCGTCTGCAGACAGACTTAAATATAGTCGTGACTTCCTGCTTCAGTTCCGTTACTGTGATGTTGCCTGTGAGCGACCTGCAGACTTGATCCTGTTGGAAGGTGTGACAGATGCTGTGCCAGGTATCCAAGATTCTTCCCTGATTTTACCTCTGTCAGCAATAATATACCTCACTGCAGAAAATGTTTAATGTTTAACAAGATGCTGCAGAAGGGTTTGTAAGTGGGGTTAAAGCAGCCTTTCCCAACATGGTGCTGGAAGTATTGGATTTTATACTCCATAATTCCTGGGCATTATTGCCTATACTTAATGGTATTAATAGTATGAGAATCCATATTGGGAGACCCCTGGTAGGGAAGAATATCCTGCATGGTCTTGCTTGATTTTCATAGCAATCAGAAGAGCATCAATGAGTTCTGCAGTTTGTGGGGAGCTTTGGAATAATTCATTGAGGTAATAAACTGACCTTTCATGTTTTATGATTAAATCTGTGGTTATGCCCTATGAAGTTGAAGCTGGAAAGAAATTACTGTATATAAAGGAATTAAAATGTTGTTCACCAATGACATAACTTTCTGAAAACTGAACACCGCAGGATCAAAACTGAACACCGCAGGATTTGAATGGAGAAACTGGCAGAGTTTAAAAATGTGATGGATCTGGCCAGGGACTATGGGGAGAAAAAAAATATCTCCCATTGCATCCACATGGGAAAAAGAGTTTGGCATTGGGTTGGAATGCTGCTGACTCTTCCATTCTAAGCATTCTTGATCACATGACTTAGCGTGCTGCCTGCCCTGTGTGTCTCAGTGCCGATAGGCACAACGTAAGAAGAGGGCAGAAAAGCACACCCAGAGAGGATGAATAGGCACCTCCCCTGATTAGATCTTTACAGACACAAACATGCAGGCAACATGTATGCATGCAACTTGATTAATACCTGGGGGCAAAGTGCAAGTGTGCACACGTGCACCTCTCACAGATGCAACATGCTACTTCACTACACAGAAGAAAAGGTAGGCACCTTCTGTGGCTGCAACTAATAGTTGGGAAGAATTCCTGAAGCCATCACTGTTTGCCTGCAACACTGTTTGGCTTCAGAACACTGTTTGTTCTGAATCATATCTATTACTTTAAAAAATGCTAGTGTTCTTTCTTTCTTGGGCCTTAATTTTTATTTTCTGTTTCGCGTCTGCACAAATGTTATGCAGCCATGACAGAGTCAAAATAGGCAAAGCCATTTTTAACTTGACAAGTGTTGGTGCTTGAATTTATTCAGAAAGCCGTGGAAGTTATTCCAGGCTGTTGTGTAAAGAGATGGTAGTTTGCACAGAATATTGAAACTAAACTCTTGAGTCTTGGCCTTTGGTGTATTTTGCTATAGGATGTTGTTTTGTTATGTCTGTTGGAGTCAAATATTGCAAACCGGGTGGTGTGTTTGATCAAGTGTTTTGCTTTTGTTTTGTGCATTGCAGACCGTCCTGCATATTGGCCTAAAGACCTCACTGTAGAGAACAAATCTGATCCAGAACTGGTTTGTTCAAGGTAATCTGTATGCTGGGTTGGGATTTGGAGAATTCAAGCACACCTGGGACTATCAGATTGGGGAAGACCAGTCCGCTCCCACAGAGAGGGCCTCCTTAGGGTGCCGTCGGCCAGACAATGCCGGCTGGCGACCCCCAGGGGGAGAGCCTTCTCTGTGGCAGCTCCTGCCCTCTGGAATGACCTACCCCCCCCCCGACCTACGTACAGTTGCGGACCTGCGCCTTTTTCGCCGAGCCCTGAAGGCCCATCTATTCCGTGCGGCCGGCCTGGCGTAGTTTGGATTGTGTTTCAGTGGGGGGTTTTGTATGGGTGTGTTTTTAGAACAGGCCTATTATTCAATTCGATTTTAAAACAGAAACTATTTATTTATTATCGTGGTTTTTAGTATCGCCTGTTCACCGCCCTGAGTCCCGCAAGGGAGATAGGGCGGTATATAAATTTAATAAATAAACAAACAAACAAATAAATAAATAAATAAATAAATAAATAAAAGATGGAAGAATGCTTGTCCAAGTGAGATTAAGGCAGACGTTTCGTCAAGAGTCTGTGATTATATAACCAGAGGAAGGCTAAGAAAGTGAAGAATCTCTTGATTACATGACTCAGAATAGAGTGTGTATATTGAAACCACAGGTAGTCCTCGACGTACGACCACAATTGAGCCCAGAATTTTATGTTGCTAAGTGAGAAATTTGTTAAGGGAGTTTTGTCCCATTTTACTACTTTTCTTGCCACCTTTGTTAAATGAATCACTGCAGTTATTAAATTAGTGACACCTTTGTTAAGTGAATGTGGCTTCCCCACTGACTTTGCTTGTCAGAAGGTGACCAAAGGTGATCATGTGACCCCGGGACACTGCAACTGTCATAAATGTGAGTCAGTTGTCAAGCACCAAATGTAAATCATGGGACCATGGGGATGCTGCAGCGGTCGTTAAAATGGTGAAAAATGGTCATAAGTAATTTTTTTCAGTGCTGTTGTAACTTCAGTCACTAAACGAACTGTTGAAAGTCATATAATGAGATTTTCTAGCACGAGGTACTGCTTTCTATTGCTTTTGACTGTGGCATTAATAAGGTTCCAGATCGTTTTTTACTCTGAGGATTGTTATAAATATTCTCAGATTTCCTTTTGACATTGATTATTTTTGAACAGTTAGCAACATTTGGCATTATGGCTAATCCTAAAGAAATGTGCCCTTCATTTTCAGAGCACTTTCCATCACAATCTAACCCTGGGGCGAAGTTCATAGAGTTGCTTTGGTTGATAATGCTGCCATATTAGAGTCCTTTCTCAGTATGCTCTCCTGGAGCAGTCTGCAACTTTGCATTTGTGGGTGGAAATGCTGCAATATATTATATTTGTCCTTTGCGTGGTTTCTTTGACTGTAATTAGCCTGAAAAACAACATGAGCATTCAGCAACAGTTAAAGGAAGCTACTGGAAATGGGGAATGTTGCCTGAATATCACTGACATTTTCTTCTCACAAACCTTCAAATGATTTTGTTGGGAGTGCAGAAAGAGAGAAAAGATAGACTTCCTCTTTTTCATAAGCTGGGTCCCAAATAATCATCAGTTCTTGGCATGCAGCTTTTGAATAAATTTCTGAAGCATGGTAATAATGAATGCTAGCTTAGTTTGCTTTTCTTGCTTCCAGTCCTGTTGCTAAATGACATCTGCCCCTCCCTCTTCTGTTTTGGGGGTGGAATTTCTTTCCTGGTCATAGGTATCCAGGCAGTATTCACCATAGCCTCAACCTGACCTCAGCTTACAACCACTTCCTGCCTGAGAGAGGTTGCCAAGAGATTACAACCATGCCAATGGGAGTGGGAGCCACTGTGGATTATATATTTTACTCAGCAATGCCAATCAAGAATGATCAGGAAGAATGTAAGTAGGCATCTTTCTTCCAGCAAGCATATGTATTTTCTGATAATCTTTGTTGATTTGTCAGATTTCTACAGTGGACCATTACATTTATCAGTTTATATAGCGACAAGTTCTGTAAGTTCAGCTTTAAAACAATGGTTCTGATTATGTCTCTTTTCTGCTTCTTGTGGCTTTTCTTTAATGATTGTCAGAAGTGCATGGGATGTGTGTGTGTTCAAAATTATATGAACATCTATTTGTGCATTGGAGCTTTCTCTTGTTCTCCTTCCCTCTTGTGTTCTCTTTTCCCAAATCCATAAAGTCTGTTTAAGACAGGAAGAATTTACCGGTGCAAATGCTGTGAGGTGAAGTGAGAGAACTTCACGAGGAAAGGGAAATTGTCCAGTTCTGTGAACAGAAACTGATTTTCCTACAGAAATGGATATTTGTTCCATGTCAAATACTAATCCCTGCCTTTCCTTCGTTTATTCTGGGAAGAAATGTTGATGATTATTTCTGAGCAATGAGTTGCTCATTCTTCCATTCATTTGAGGTCTAACGTGATGAGTGAATTGAAAACAAGGTTTAAATTTAGCAGCGTGGAAGCCAAGAAATTGACATACATATCCAGGACGACTGGAAACAGATTCTTATTGTGTAACTTCCCTCATTTGTTTCACTCCCCACGTTTTTCTGAATGCTTAAAATGAGTTATATGGACATTTGAGAACAGCCACCGACACCTGATCATGTCAAATTTAAACAAAAACGTAGAAAAGGATATCAAGGGGCCTGGTGAATATCTGGACTTAGAAATGTATCTATTGTAAACATTTCTTATATTGCTGTGGCTGTTGTTTGTATCTCTATCTGCATTGCTTTTATCTTCTGATAGCTGGATTGCAACTTTACTTTGCGGGGCCCTGTTCACATTTCTCATTCTGTTTTGCATTTAGATCGCAGGATGTACCAAGATGGAGCCCTAAAGCTGCTTGGCCGCCTCTCCCTTCTCTCTGAGGACATCCTGTGGTCAGCAAATGGCTTGCCAAATCCTTTCTGTTCATCTGATCATCTTTGTCTGCTGGCCAGTTTTGGGCTAGAGATTCCTGACTTCTAATCATGTGCCAGATCTTCAGGACTCTCTTAAGAGTTGGCCTGAATGAGAAAATCATGCCACTGAAGTTTGCATCAGCGAACGAAAAGAAAAAAAAAAGGATCTTCCCCACCCTCCCCCCGCCCTTCCCTATTTTTGAGATGTCCTTGTTCTTTTCTCCCTTTTTTCAAAGAGGAAATAATGATTTGGTTTACTCTAGAATTCTGTAATCTTAGTCTAAGCTTCACTGCCATTTTATGTCTGCCTATAGTCTGGCTACTGCACCATCTTAAAAGGGCCTCCTGTCATCCAAGGGGCAGCTTTGTCTATTCCAGTGTTTCTCAACCTTGACAATTTTAAGGCACGTGGACTTCAACTCCCAGAATTCCACAGCCAGCAATGCTGGCTGTGGAATTCTGGGAGTTGAAGTCCACGTGCCTTAAAATTGTCAAGGTTGAGAAACACTGGTCTATTCGTTCTCTGGTTTGAAAGTATGCTCACACACCATCAGTTAGCAGAGCGTGTCGCGGAGCACAACAAAAATCTGAACGGAGTCTTCATGTGGGCTACACACACAAACACACACACGCACACACACAAATACTTGCTTTGTGCTGCAGGCAGCAAGAGATCTCTATACTGTTTATTATTGTACTCAAACCAGAGTGATGGTTGGTGGAGTGATTTTAACTTTTTGAGAGCTGGTGAGCTATTGCTTCTGATGATCCTGTTTCCGCAGGTAAATGCTTGTTGATTGGCATGTCCCTCTTGTCTGTTTGGTAATGGAATTAATTCAGCTGGCGTCCCCTGACTACACAGAAATTTTTCCATAAAGATTTTCCTAGCAATTTAATATGTTTCCATGTTAACAAAGCCTCTTGAAAACTCTTAAGATTAAAAATTAATTTCATTCTCTGCTCTGAGAACATTGAATTTTATTGTCAGGTTCTTCAAGAGGCTTTTTATACATTGATTCACTACTTTGGGACGTTTTTTGCTGTCTTTGGTGACAACTAGAGTTGCAAATAAGGACTGCCAAAACTGATAGAAAATGACAGGTGCTTTTTTTTTTTTTTTTAATGGAAGTCATGTTGTTGGGAACTAGAAGTGGGCCTGACAGTTGCTGCTCAGTTTTTAAAAAGCATGTTAACAGATTGTTAGAAAAACATGTGATTCAGAGTAAGGCTGGTCTGTAAATAACTCTCATTCTCAATATACAGAAAATTTATTACAGCTATGTGCAGGCTGTGTGCAACATTGTATTGGACAAAATGCCTTGGGAGCTTTCAGTATTTAAAATATTTTCTTAAATTTGAAAGAAAAATAAATAATTTTTTCTAATTTCAGAAAAGTTGTAAATTTAGTCGGTTGAGTCTGGAAAAAGAGTGAACTGAAGCACCTTTGTGTGAGGCTTCGGTAACGCCCTCTGGTGGATGTTGCACGTTACACTTAGAATGTGTTGCTCAACAAAGATGCTAGGAAAGATGAACACTGACCCTCGCTCAGGAGCTCACTACAATATAATAATGCCTAATTTTCAGATTCTTTCTCTTACAGGAGCAGAAAGAAAGAAAATTAGTCTCTGCAGATACATTTCTGAGTAATTATAAGAGTCTTTTAAGTTTTTCAGTTGGAAAAAGTATTCATTATATTTCTTACTAAGATTCTTTAGCTCAGTGGTTCTCAACCTTTTTAATGCCGTGACACCAACCGGTCGTAAGTCGAGGACTAAACCGGTCGTAAGTCGAGGACTAAACCGGTTGTAAGTCGAGGACTACCCAACCGGTCGTAAGTCGAGGACTTTCCCTGCCTGGGAGCGCCGCACATGCGTGGTTCTGCCCCCTGCGCCGGCCGAGGCGTAGCTGGCAAGCGGCAGAGACGGAGCAGGCTGACCACCAGCTGGCCCAGCCCAAGGGAGATAAGGCATCCGCCGAAAAAGGGGAAAAAATGGCGGACAAAAAAAATGGCGGACAGCCTTGCTTGGCGACCCCCGTGAAATGGTCGATCGAGCCCAAATGGGGTCCCAACCCACAGGTTGAGAACCACTGCTTTTGTTGATTTTTGTGCTCTTCTGCTGGTTGATTTGAAAAATTTTAGGTTAGAATTCCAGATCTGTAATTATTTGCATGTAGTCTCAAGCTGCAAGAGGTAAGGTTGAACCTTATTACATAACTACTTCAGGTACCATGTTTTTCACCTAGTTATATAATTGGAGGGTCCTGATGTTCTTTACAAGCCCTTGATAAGTATATAGGTATATAAATGTTCATCTTAGAGAAGAAATAAATAGCTTATGAGCCACATACAATTTCAAGACTGCATCAAAATGCAGATTATCATAAGAGACAAGGAACTTTTCTTAGTTTTAAGGAAAAAAAGTCAGGTAAACTTACTTTAATAAAAATAACCGCCTGCCAAATTGGTTGAAAATCCTAACTCCATTCCCTCTGCTCTCTGTGGCGTATGCTTTCAGCCTTAGGTAGAACTTCTTTTTGCAAAATGTTTTTATACTGATGTTTTGTACTAATACTTGAGAGTCAAAGAGACTCTGCAGTCTTGTATAGGTAGTCCTCGAGTTACGAATGTAATGGAGCCTGCTCATTTCATTCATAACTTGAGGATTCGTAGAGTCTATGACATACCTTGAAGGCCATCACTCCCTGCTTTCGCCCATGCATTCGCTAATCGGATGCCCAGGTCGTTAAGCGCACATTGAAATATCTCAGAGTGGGGAAAGCCATGGGGGGGGGGCTAGTGATGGAACAGGCTACCTGCTTCAGACCATCCAAGGCCTCCCCCGGCCCACTGAGGTACCTCATTCTCACCACAATTGCTTTCCCCCCATCCTGCCACGCCGGGTTCACTTACCTTGCAAAGATCTATTGAGCTGTCTCCTCTCCAGCCTCTCTGCCCCACAAGATCACGGCACTGAGACGCTTCCAGTTTTGGCACCAAAGTGTTTGCAAGCTGAGTGGACACTTTGAGGCAGCGTGACTTCAGCCATGAGATTACAGTGTTGAGATGCTTTCAGTCTCCGTGTGTCACTCCCGGCCTCCGTTTTCAGTGGCAAAGGCCTTTCCTCAAAGCCTTTGCCGCTGAAAACAGAGGCCAGAGTGACACGTGTGAATCCAGAGCTCCATTCTCGGTACCAAAGGCTTTTTGAAAAGATGGCAAAAGGCTTTGCAAACGGACGGAAGGCTTTAATGTTTCAGGCCTTCCCTCCATTTGCAAAGCCTTTTGCCGCAGATCTCGTCCAGGCCTCCGTTTGCAGAGAACAAAGGTGTAAAGTACTGTAAGATCATGCAAGATCAATAGTGTGAAATCTCGAGTGATCTTGTGGTACTTTAGGCCTCTATTCCCTGTGAACGCACTGAAGGCCTGAAGCAGTGAAATAGATCAAGAAATGAAGGCTCTCTACATCTTTGCAAGGTGAGTATGCACAGGCCTAGTGCCTATTGAGACCCAGTAAGGGGGAGGGAATAGGCAGAGTGAATGTTGCAGTGCCTCTGCAGTCATTCGTAAGGATGAATGACTGCCGTGGTGCTGCAACATTCGTAATTTTGGGACTTGTTCATAAACACTAGGGGGCGCTTATTGCGTAACTTTGAACACTCGCTAAGGAAACGTTCATAACTCGGGGATTACCTGTACTTACTACTTGTGAATAAACCCGGTTGTACTCCAGATAACTTCTGAGTAAATGCATACAGGACTGTGTTCTTAAGGATCCAAATAAGAGAGATCTGCAGGAGTGGCGGCTTTCATCAACATGATAAAAGCAGCAACACACTGTAACCCCTTTTGTAGATGCACATATCACAACATAAATATAAAAGGGGAGGAGTTTGTGTCACGACATAAAAAAGCTTTTATTAATTTGTCCTCCCTTGATGCCCCCCTGCAGACAGGCCTAGGCAAATCTCTTTCTTTGTTGCCATGAAAATTACTTGGACTGTCCACCTTGTCATTGAAAGCTTGAGTTGAAGCAACTGTTTGTCTTTGTGTAATAAGGACCCACTTTAGAGTTTAAAGTAGCACTTAGAGGCACGTTCATATGTATATATATCACTTTGCCTCTTCTCAAGACAGTTCATTAGGTTTTATTTTCCCCCTCAAGGTATTTCTCACCAGTATTTCTATTTCCACTAACAAATGCTGTGTTTATTTTATCTTGCATACTCGTTGTATACATAATTGGTTTCATTTGATGGATTATATATTTGAAAAAAAAATTTTTTTAATTAGTTCAGAGACTTTTCAGATTGCTTTTTTAACCTAACTACCAGCAAAATTTCTCGCCTGTTGAGCTTTTCTGAAAGTAGTCTCTAATCTCTTCTTAAGTAACATTTAGTTTAGCTCATACACTACAGATGAGATCTACTACTGTTCTAAAGTAGCATTGCATGCATGTTACTAGTTTGTACACAAGACATAAAACATTATAATGAGCAGGAGCCTGTTGTTGAAAGAAAAGTCTTCATCTTGGTTCAGTCCAAGCCGGAGATAAACAACATGGCGACTGCTTTAGAAAGAAGGTTGCAGTTTATTGAAAAGGAGAGCCAGACAGAAAGATGGTTCTGGCTGGAAAGAGGAAAAAAGGGTTGAGCACATGTGGGGAGTGGGTCTTTATACCCTCTGGAGCCTTTTGTTTGGAGTTGTTTCCTGTTCCTGTGGCATGAACTTTGACCTGAGTCAGTGTACTTTTCTGGTATTCTGATTGTGATGGGTTAATCCTATTATGACCAAAGGTCATATCCTGCTTCCCTGGGACTGGGGCTGATGACTCTTAGAGTTTGGATGGGGTATGTAGATTTTAGGTCTTTGTCTTCTTAATCTCCTAGCTCCCTGGATTTACATCTGCATCTCTATAGAGCTGGTTTCTGCTTGGGGAAGAGAGACTTGGGGCTATTAAGAAAAACTGGGCATGCTTTCCTGCCTCTTTAAGATCCTCGGAGGAAATATATTTTTCTGCCCTTTTAATATTTCCTACTCTGGGGGGGCTGACTTCCCACACTGTGATGTTACAGGAACCGTGTCACTTTAAATGAATGTGGAAAATTTAGATCATATTTAGGCTTTTGTT